AAAAGAATTTATAAAAAATTATTTATTAATTGAAAATTTTAATTTTACTATGGATATTATCCGGGTTTAACTGGTACGTCCAAACCATCAAATAATAATGGAACTGGCTTGTGAAGTAACAATATTTTAATAAAAACTGACACTATAGAAGCAATAACTTAAGACTTGAAGATTCCAACACCCTATCATTTTCCATTATTTGTTAAAATAAACAAAGCCCGAAACAGTACTAAAAAAAATCATGCGTTTTATTTCAGTTACAATAAACTTAATTCAATCGCTGAAACTGTTAATTGGAATACAGTACAATTAATGAATAAGTCCAACAAAGCAATGAATACTATAATTAAACACGTGAAACATCGTATAAATAATATTAAGTGTCAAGCAAACACAAACAGGAATAATCAGAGTATGATTCGAAGGTAAGCATGTATTACTTTAGCAACAATTACAAATTGTTTTAGAACGTTTTTCCGTAATATAGGTGAGAATTAAGCGATAAAATTATAAAATTGAAAAATTGAATAAGACGTCTACCTGCAGTGAGCAAAGAAACAATTTTCACACTACCTACTTAATACACATACAGTACAAGCTACAGTATGCGACCTAGAAAATAAAAATTAATGGAAAAGAATAGGTGGAATGAATTCTAAGGTGCTAAAATTACTGTCTAATTACATTTGTCAATTTATGGCTTATATCTTTAATATATGTATTACACAATCAACATGGATTTTAGATTTTAATTTTAAATTCGCTGCTATTTATTATTTACATAAATGACTTTTTAATCTTCATAACTCTGTTTTGCCTTACGCTGACGACACGGCTATTATTTTTACAGAAAACACATGGGATGGAATTCAAAGTAAAATAAATGAGTAGCTTAACCTTATGGCTGAATGGCTGGCATTAAACAAACAATCTTTAAATATAGGAAAAACAGTATTTATGACTTTTGAAAACTACTGTGATAGTGTCCCAAGCAATATTAAGATAACTAGAAAAAAGACAATAGAAAAGTAGGGTATCACAAGTATGATTTTTGATCATAACTAAAAATAGGACAAAAATGTTGAATAAATAGTGAAAAAAACTAAATATTCAATTGACTTTTCTTACAAAATTTTCTAAACGCATGGATTACAATATATTAGAAAAATCTTTTAACACTTTTTTTTTATAAAATAGCGAATTATAGAACAATAGCATGAAGAGAAGCTTACAATAGTGTAATAAAAAGGGTTGTTCAATATTGAGATCCTAAAATTTAAGTTTACGCGCTTGATTAAATCTACCAATCAGCCACTAGTACACAGAGTTTCAAGACATCCAATCGCAATGCACCGCGTTTCTTTAGTTAGTCAATAACTGTGTAAAGTAGGCAGCAGCTTGCTCTCTTTAGATGTAGCTGCGCGATGTTATAGCCAGTTCGTACTCAGTCGTTGAGCAAGATGCACGCACCTTTGCACGAGCATACACATACGCCTCTTTTAAAAGTTTTACACGCGCACTTTAACGATCAATTTACTGCCGTTCTTTATAACTCGATTATTCCTATTACTTCTCGTTTCGATTGTTCCGAATCTTTACCTCAGAAAAGTAAAGTGTTTGCATCAAAAATATTAATTTGGTGCTTCTATTCAATAAATACATTTAAGAGTGTTAAATACAAAATCAGTCTAATTTACTTCACATAGAAGCACACTCCCACTCCGATACTCGACAAGGGTACAAGGAATTTAAAAAAGAATACTAAAAATGATCAAAAATAATTTTATATTAGACAATTCTCTAACCATAAGACAAAACTTTGCTCACAAATATTTATGTACATACTACACAGAGCTAAAAAAGAGGAACACAGGCTGATGTGTAACGGTAGCATTTCCCGAGAACAGCGTGTGGAGCGATTTTTTTTGGGCGTACCCCGTTAACCATCAAACATTTGGTGGCGTGTACATCCTTGGCGTAGCTTATTGATAAGCAGGAACTTCTCAGGCCCATAGTGTGTATTTAACGGAATGTAAACAGGCACTTGGTGGAAAAGGGAGAGGCGGGCAGAGTAGGTTCGGCGGGTAAATTGTCACCCTGGATTACAATCAAATAAATTACTTTTCAGCCTGTGGATTTTTTTTCCTTGTTAATGAATAGCTTAGCTTCAATCTTCAAAATTTTTTTCGACTGAAAAAGTAATAATTAAGTAATTAGAATTATTAGAAAATTTGAACTTGAAATAAAAGTCCCGTCGAAAATTTGTAAGCATTTTTTGGAGGAAAATTATGTAATACATGGTTTCAAATTTTATTGCAGTAAAAAGTGCCATTCAAGAGCTTTCATCAGCTACTCGAATTATTATCGTACGACATGCAGAATAAAAGTTATATTGAAATTAAAAAGTTACATGAAGGGGGCAGGGTGGACATCAGCGGGAAGGGCAGGATGAGCACGGCGACTAGTGGCGACTATAGTGTCAAGCCGACTGTTTACGATTTTCTAACCCAACTTTTCGTTTTCCAAGGATGTTTTTTTTTCAACTTGTGCTAAAATTTCAATGACTAGGATGGTCAGTAATTACAAAAGAAAAAGTGAGAGAAGAGGGTGGATCGATGGTCAGTTGCAATTGGCTGTTGATTATGTACACAGTGGTAAATCGATAAAAATTTCCGCTACTAAGTTCGGTGTACCTAGAACGACCCTTGGAAGAAGATTAAAAAATCCAAGTGTAATGAGTGTTGGTAAGTCAATAGATTAAAATATTTAAATAAATTGTGCACATTTTTATTTATAGTATAAATATTATTCAGGGTTCCAAAAAGTATTTTCTCATGAGCAGGAACAAGTTCTTTGCGATTACGTGCTTGACATGGAAAAAAGATTGATGGTGCTGTCATCAATGGAGCTAAGGCAATTAGCTTACAATTTTGCCATTAAACTTGGTGTAACACATCCTTTCAAATCAGAAACTTGTAATGTACCAATTGAAACATCAATAATTCATCTCAGCCTGTAATGTGACTTGAGAATTTAAGAATATTCTCATTTTTACATTACTTTTCAGGTCTCGCAGGAAAAGATTGGCTGCACAGTTTCATGAAAAGGCATGAGCTTTCCAATAGAAAAGCTCAGCCAATATCTGCAGCAAGGGCTAATGGATTTAATAAATACAGTGTTAATGAGTTTTTCTTACTGCTGAAAGAAGTTTTAGAAAAGTATGAGATCAGTGCTGTTAACATTTGGAATGTTGACGAGACTAGCATTTCAATTGTGCCAAAGTCTGATACGAGAGTCATTGCCAAAAGAGGAAGACATCAGGTTGGAGGAAAAATATCTGCTGAACGAGGTGAGACTGTCACTGCAGAGTTGTGCATGTCTGCAGCAGGTGCCTTCATGTCACCGATGCTTATTTTTTCTCGGGTTAAGCCAAACGACTTGTTTTTTAACGATAAACCAGTAGGATCTTGGGCTGTTTTCCGGAAAAGTGGCTGGATGGAAACAGATGTTTTTACTCAATGGTTCATTAAATTCATTGAATTTTCAAAAGCATCTCTAGAGAACCCAGTGTTGTTGATTTTGGATGGACACTGCTCTCATGTGAAAAATCTTGAAGTGGCAGAGTTAGGTAAAGAGAAAGGTATCATTGTTCTATGCTTCCCGCCACATTGCACGCATCGAATGCAACCACTTGACGTCGGTTTCATGAAGCCATTGAATTACTATTATGCGGAGGAGGTGAACAAGTTTCAGCGAAGTCGTTCCCAAGTCCAGATGAAAGATGTGTTTGGAATTTTTGGCAAAGCTTGGCAAAAAGCATGTAAAATAGACACGGCCGTCAATGCTTTTAAGACAACCGGTATTTGGCCATGCAATGATTCAGTTTTTAATTCCTACTTTTCTGATACTTCAGACTCCACTCATAATTCGGGTAAATATTTTGATAAAATAATTTAAAAAAATAGTATTTGTTTAATACAAATGATATTTTTATTATAGATTCCTGTAACGCGTCTTTGTATAAAGAAACAATCGACACCATTATGAGTGAGTCAACTGGCAGCAATAAATCTAATGATCGTCACTCAAATTCATCCTCGACTTCCGATGTGACTACAAGAAATGTGCATCATGTATCATCATCCATTACTAAGCCTATATTGGAGACTTGTTCGCCAGTGGAGCCAACAATGGAAGTTCCTCTCTCTCATATCAAAAATTTTATATCATTTCTTGTAAGTAATGTTGTAACTTTTTAACTTAGTGTTTAATAGGCTACTTAAATAAACATTATTTTAGCAAACAGCTGTTGATGAACATGAAAGTTAAGATAAATCAACTGCAGCTCAAAATCAAAGTGTAAGTGACATACCCAATAAAAATTCTATTTTTTCTGACAGCATTGAAAATCAGCCGGCAAAGACTCTTGTGAGTAGAAAGCGAGGAGCTGTAGCGATTGTCACAAGCGATGCTTATATTGATGAGTTGAACACGAATAAAAATAAAAAATTAAAAGTAGAAACAAAAAAAAAAACGGTAGAGAAAGTTAGAGTAAAAAAAGACACAAAAAAAACGGTAAAGAAAGTTAGAGTAAAAAAAGAGCCCAAGGAGAAGAAGGGAAGCAAAATGACAATCAAGTCTGATGTGTTATTGAAAAAACCTGTAGAGTTGCACAAAAAATCATCTCAAAAGATGCCTGCTGATAATGTATTGCCCAGGCAGCCATTAACTACTGTCAATCAAGAGAAAACTCCAAATAACATTTCACATTATTCGATTTTTAACGATCCTTTTCCCTTGGGTACTTTTGTAGTGCAATCTAAAACTGGTGAGCTTGACAAAGCACTTGATGAACCTTGCGAAAATTTTAGTTTATTTTAATTTGTTTTTAAACTCAAAGTCAAACAATTAGAATTATTTATTATTATTATTTATACATTATTATAGATTATTTCAATACTAAAGAGTAATTGAATCTCTCAACGAAATCAAAGTGATATTATCAAATAAGATGAAAAAAGGTTGTAAAATAAAATAAATCTATGTGTCATTATTTTCATTAATAAAAATATTGATCAACACTTAGCTCCACGATTTTTTAATTAAATATGTACCTTATAACCTCAAAGAATTTTTTACCCAACTCTTCGTGCTCATCGTGTCCGACGTTGAGATCTCCCTCCCCCGTAGGGGGGGGGCAGACTGTCCTTTTTTTAGACGTGTAATGTAGTATATTTTTCAGTGTCACTATGTGCTTAATTTGATTTAAATTTTATCATATGTTGTTCTCTAGACCTTTCTCTTTAAAAAGTACCCTACATCATTTGTATTGACGATTAGTACTATTAACAAGAGCTTGCTTACAGGTAGAGTGTCCGTACCGCCCCCCTCTCCCTTACTTAGTGGGTATGCCCCGGGCACTTGGCGGGTACTTCTGAGGTACTTGGTGGGTACTTGCCGAGGTCTTGGTGGGCACTTGCCGCTTACTTCAATGGCACTTAGGTGGAACGTCTTGGGCCTATGGTGTGTATTTAACGGAAATAGACACGTACTAGGCGAGTACTTGGTGGGTATTCTTATGACATTCTTAAACAATCTTCAACACATGAAGTTTACAAACCACACAAAAGGTATGCCGATTGTTTGTTTTTTAATTTGCTAATCAAAGTGTATAACCAGCTCATAACTCCTCTTTCACTATCCATTCACGAGTCTTCTTTTTAATTGGTCTGTTCAAAGGTGTGACACATAGGTGACAGTACGAACTTTCTTAATTCATTGCTTATAATTACTTTGCATGATAAGCAAATAAACACCAGCCTGTTGTGATGGAATACGGTATTATATCCTTTTATAGAGCACATTATATTTACATACAGCAAGAGCGTACACACATATTTTTTGCTAGTCTTCGCTTGATGTATAAACAAGTATTATAACTTTAACTTTACTAGCAGTAAGCAGACGCTCTTGCGTGCACATAGATATACCCATGTATACAGTTCTCATCGCTTACTAAGTAAGCTCAATGAAAATGTGGTAACGCTGTGCGTTCATCCAGGTGCACCTTAACCTTTCAACTCCATTTACGGGTAGTTTGGAACGTATTTTTAATGGCCTCTTATTGAAAAGCTATTTGCCCTAAAAAATTAATTTCAACGGGGTTCGCTTCAGAAAAATCATGTATGAATTCAAAAAGCATAACAAAAATATGTTGCATTCAAAAAGCATAACAAAAAAAAAATTATGCAATTACTGAAAATGTCGAAAACGTTTGTACTAAAAACAAAGGACAAAAAACTATGGAACTAATGATGCAATGAATACCTGATCGGAAATCTAAGCTCGGTGATAGCTCGGGACTACCTTGGCAGCCGAGGTAATCTACGTCGGCTTTGCTTTTGTACAGTGCCCTATGTATCGACAAAACGTGTGGCTAGCTGGGATCTAGGTAGGGAACTAGCGTAAAAAAATAAGTGCAGAAAATATAACTCTGAAAAGGTATGAAAAAGTAACCAATTATTGTACTGCTAAAGTAAAGTAATTTATTTTTTTACTGGAATAATTGACGGATTATAATTTTTAATTGTATTAAATATTGTGAGTTTATTTAATTATTAATTAATTTCAGCTACGTTAAAATGTTCGTTACTATCTCCAGCCGCTCTTCTCCCGTCCCACTCCTTGGAACGTAGAAAGACAGTTCCAAAAACAGACAAAACCATTTTTACAATTTTTACAAGTTTAACAACTTTTCATGTTTAGGTTATATCATTTTATAAAATACGCTACTCTAAACTCAAACTGCTTCCATACACGTATACATATATTTCGTACGATCATGATTGTACACTTAAGGGCACTTTATATTGGTCGGGACGATAAAAAATATTATCTGTTAAGCGACAATAAATCGTTGTCATGTTATAAGTTCCAGGACATCATTGAATGTGTGTAAACAAATTTTTACGACAGATAAAAATTGCCTTGAGTGTATGTATGTAAGCATATACGTATAAGAGAAAGTGAGACAAAATAAACTTGGCTCCCTAGCTGGTGCCAACCTCATGTCACGTTCCATATTCCAAAAATTTAATGTTGGCCCGACCGTGTCAGCCTACCTTGGCTGAACTTTGTGAGCTGGGTAGCCAAGCTTACATTTCCGATTGGGTAAACGATACGAGAAACTATTACTCTATAACTAAGGTTAATTGAAAAGTTAAATGGTAATGATTACATGTATATAGATAAAAAAAAGAAAAAAATAAAATAAAGAAAACTACGTACTACGTATAATAGATTAGATTTTCATCTTTAAAAATCATAGATAAAAAATAAATCTTACATTAGTACTAGTATTGCTACAAAAGAATTAGCTAGTAAATTTAATATTTTTTTTTTGTTTCTACATTTTACCGGCCTGTGAACAGGTACAAGCGTAATCTTTGCAAAATTACAACTGCAATAGCATTACTATTGTTTTGCGTTCTATACCGTAGTAAAATTAATTAATAAATCAATAAATAAATCTAGTTAAACTAAATTATTTAAGTAATAATATGCAGAAAAATCGTATACTTACTTCGAGCAGCACGTAAAGTATCACTGCTTGTGTATCTTTACCGCCCTCGATTTCGGCTCGGGCTCAAATTAGCCACACGAGCGATGATTAATTTAATCTCTGCTCTAAGTATGTAATATACCATTAAAAATTTTTTTCGGCAACTCTATTAAAAACCCCTAGAAATCTTCTGAAGAAAAATAAAAGTTTTGAATAATAAAAATAGATAAAAACATTTTTTTTAATTTTTTCTGAGTCGTCCTTGTGAGTAACAGTATCCAACCATAAATATACTTATTTAAAAAAGGAATTTTTTAGCCCTCCAAATTAAATACAAATAACTCAATGCTATAAACAGCGAATTGATTACTTATTTACACTTTGGCAGAAATGTCAGAACTGAGTGTGATAGATATTATTTTGGGCTTTTCAATAGACTCACTAGACTAAAAGCTGGGTTAAGTTGCTAACCCCTGATGCTTGCTCGTCCAAGGGTATATTTTGTCAATAAACCATCGGCCTTAACAGTGGTGTGTTGACATGTAATATAAAACGTTTTCAGTAAAAAATAATTTACATCTACTCCTAACCCTTTTAAAACAAAAATTTTCTTATCAAAAACATATTTATTCTGAATCCATACAATTTATTTGGTCAAATGAGAAGCTGTAAAAAGTGTAAGGAATATAATTATGCTGAAAAGTACCATGCGTTCCTTAAGTCATAAAATAATCGCTGGCCCTAAGGGGCCGTTGATTTGTAGTTTCTCCCCTATAATTTCCGAAAAGGGCTATTTTTAGAGCTATAAGGACTTAGAACCCATAAAAAATATATAGTAAAAAAAAATTTTTTTCTGTTATCTCTCAACTAAATTCAAGTGTTATATATTTATCGCCCTGATGATGACAGTTGCTGGATTGAGTATTTGTTTTCTTGGTGATGATATAGTCACTCAGGATATCACTATTTCTGAATTAGGTTAATTGATCTGCTGCTGGGTTATGGGTGTATTTTTCATTTAATTTCAGAAAATTTTTATCAAAAGAGTAAACATTGTCAACATAATCAAGTTTGACAGGTTCCTACTTAAGTGAATTTGTCGAGCCATGAAGAATTTAGTGATAGAGACTCAAATAAGTGAATGTTTATATATATTTATTGATGATACTCAAAACATGTTGGTATAGTCATTGATACAACAAGCGATAAGAAGTACATCAAGCAGAGAGTGCTATTTGACAATGGAGATGTTACAGCTGTTGGTATTGCCAGTTGCATTACCCATATTGAGGGTGATAAAATCAAGTCTGAGAAAATTGCAGAGGTTCCCTGTTGGTTTGCAGTGTGGGCAAGTCAGCCTTGATTATAATATGGTTGTTATTCTTGCGCAAAATGTTGACATACTCCATGAGGTACTGATATTCATTCCACAAATATAATTTTTATTCCATTATTTTCCTTTTTTTATTTGAAACAATATTTCTTTCGACAGAAAAAACTGACATCCTTAAAGTCTATCAGACTAATAATTTGAAAACACTAATGCTCTTTTTTTTAGACATTACTGAAAACAACGTTAGAATGGACTATTTAGAACATGGAGTCTGCTACAGTTATGGAAAGGATAAAGATGGAAAAAGTGTTTGTCATAAAATCTAAATTACAACCAAAGGATCAAAAAATTTTGCAGAGCTACCAAGATGTATTGTTTACTGGTTTGAAAGATTAGAAAGGTGAAATATTGTTAGAGTTTGCAAATAATTACCAC